GGGATGCGGTGGCTGGAGGTGTCTGCCCACACCAGGAAAATCGAGGGCTCTGTCTCTGTTCAGCATTGCTCCCCCAGAAACTGGTTTTACTCAATTGTATCCTATTTCAAGCTTTCCAAACTGTAGGGTCTAACTCATTATTAGGGTCTTAAATCATTTTAATGGCTTGCAACCAGCATTTTTAATGGAATGGAATAGAGTGGGACAGAAAATACCAGAAAGTACTTCACGTGAAGAGCGGATAATTGTTCTGGGAACCACCTATGTGTTACTGTGGTTCATGGTAAAAAATGTCTGATATGCTGCCTGACACAATGTCTTCCAATGTGACTCCATCTCTCTCTCAGTCTCATTTTGTCCCCTTGATTTTCCCGGTTGACAGGGATTTCTAAACCTCTTCCACTGAGTTTAGCCAGCCCTGGTGGTCTGGTGGTTAAGATCCGGTGTTCTCCCCACTGTGGCCTGGGTTTGTTTCTCCATCAGGGAACCACACCACCGGTCTGTCAGTTGTCATACTCTGGCGGCTGCATGTGGCTGTGATGCTGAAAGCTGTGCCACCAGGATTTCAAACACCAGCAGTGTCACCCGTGGTGGACAGGTTTCAGGGAGCTTCTAGACTGAGAGACTAGGAAGAGGGACCCGGCCACCAGCTGCAGAGAAATTTGGCCACGAAAACGCAGTAAATAGCAGCAGAGCATCATCTGACATGGGGCCACAAGCTGAGAGGATGGTGGAAAAAGACCAGGCAGGATTCTGCTCTGCTGGACACAGGTCGCTAGGAGGTGGGATCCACTTGACGGCACCAACATCAACAACCATTAAAATAAAGGACAGCTGTAGTTGAATCTGGTGGCTTGGTTCCATTCATTTGGAAAATACAGAGATGAAAATGAGCCAGGCACTTTGCAATCTTCCTGAAAAAGTCATCTCTGAGAAGGGCTTAGATGCTGAGTGCACAACTTTCTCTTCCAGAAAGAACTGGCAACAACCCCATCCCGCCTTCCAGATGCAGAGCTTTTAGCTCTTTTGCTAACAGCCTCCTTGGCACACTCTGCTTTAAAGGAAACGCTGTCTGCCTCAGCTTCAACCCAGGAAAGGAGAGCAGCTGCAGGCTGACAAAACCTGTGATAACCGGAACATTGTTTATCAATGGACTTGACTCATCCTTTGGCTTGAGGGCAATAAAATTTTGCCTTGAAGTACCAGATCCTATTCTGTCAAACCACAATTCTGGCCTGCCCAAAGGTGCAGTGGTTAAGTTCACATGTTCCACTTCGGCGGCCCAGGGTTTGCACGTTCAGATCCCAGGTGCGAACCCACACACTGTGCATCAAGCCATGCAGTGGCAGCATCCCACATACAAAGTAGAGGAAGACTGGCACAGATGTTAGCTCAGGGCCAATCTTCCTCACCAAAACCAAAACAAAAAACCCATGACTCAAGTCACAAGTAAATACAAATATATATACGTATGTGTATGCATACATATGTAATTTTTTTACTCCGATTTGAAATAGTAAGGAGGGTTCTTTGTGACAAGCACTATGAAAATTGCTGAGCAGAGCTGAACTAGCCAGAAAGCCCGAAGGAAAAGAGAGCAAGAGAAACTCTAGGCAGACGCAAGGGCAAGAGGAAGCAGCAAGGTCAAGGTTGTGGAGAGGACGGAGGAGCCTGGCACCAGGACAGACATGTGAGGAGAGAGGGAGTGAGAGGACCGGCCAGCTGACAGTGCTGCCAAACCGGCAAACCAGCCCCTGCGGTTGACATCGCCTTAGAGACGAGGGTAATGACCACACTCTGGAAAAGGTCGCGGGTGTCTGGTTAAAATGGCCTGAAGCGCAGATGAGGATAACTCCCCATTTCATCACAAATGTTCTTTGAGCTGATTTGACCAACAATCTAGAGATTTTCCAATCGACCGATAACTCAGTTTCCGAAGATGAGGTGACCGTGGATGAGATATTCATCCTGCAGGGAGTAACAAAAATTATTCTGCCCGTACGAACTTGGAGGACACATTATGTCTGGTTCATCGTTCCTCTTTCACAGCACCTAGCGAAGGACTCGGTAAATTTGGGCTGAAAATTTAAGATCAGCAGCTTTCCTCACGCCCCAGGCCCCCTTCCGGTCAGTGGGTGTGCTACATGGGGAGTCTCCTGCTTTGGGGTCTGCACTCAACACGCCCTCACTCTGCACACTCGCTTTCCGCTAAGAAGCCAAGAAACGACTTGGCAGCACAATTTGATCCATACCCCTGAATAAAAAATAACCAGAGGTAAAGTGGTTCTTTGGCCAAATGAGAGAGATTGCAGCCAGTACATAAATGGGGTCACTTTTGAAAACTGCGCAAGAATATAGCTGTCGGACAATTGATAGGAAATGTCTGCAAATGGGCTTCCAGGTAAAGAGTGAATGGCTGCAGGCCGAGTGTAAGCATAAAGCAGAGACGGGTCAAGTTTATCTATTAACTTCTTGTAATAAGACTTAATCATGGTCTGAAAGTCTTAAAAAAAAAAAAAGATTATCTGGATCATCAACAACTTTGAGATGCACGGAGAAATAAGAGAATTATCAGGCTTATCTTTATTTTTGACTCCAGAGAGTCCAATTCTCCCGGCATGGGCAGAACCCTTCTAAGCTAATAAAAATAACCTGAGTATTATCTAAAACTAGTCTGTTGGTAGACATTGGCTCTGTGGTTGTTACGCTGTTTATTTCAAATACTGAATAAACAGAATTTTCGTCCAGCAGGGCAGTGATTTTCAAACATTGCTGAATGTCAGAATTTCCTGCAGAGTTTGGTAAACATGCAACTGCCTGGACCCAATTCCATCAAGTCACCCAGGAAGATTTAAAAGAACGATGCCCAGACCTCCCTCTAGACCGAGTGAATCAGATTCCCTGGGATGAGGCCCGGGTGTTAGCATTTTCTAACAGTACCTACGTGAGACTAACGTGCAGACCCATATGGAGATCTCCCGCCCTACCGAGTCCGACCGGTAGGTGAGGGTGGGGCCCAGCTCTCTCAGTGTTTCATGGGTTTCACAGAGGATTCCGATGCCCGTGATCTGTGGACCCTGTTCTCAAAAGCACTGGCCTGGGTCGTGTCAAGATCTACGTGACTCTGGAGCTCTGAGAATTGGTGACTCTCAGAGCGAGCATGTCCCACCTCTCCTCTGACTTCTTTTCTGTTCCGGCAACGCTTCCTAACCAGGACCCAGTCCACATGGTCAGGAGGAAGGCGCTTTAAAGGACAACCAGATTCCTAAACTGAGTACAGGTGGTTAAGGACATAAACTGGGTTACGTTAGGGCAAGAGTTGATTCTCATCTGAATGTGTTATCAGAATTTCATAAGCAGAGGATTGCATTTCTGAGACAAAAGTAACTCAAAAGTAATAGCTAACAAAAATCGGTCTTAGGAGGAGGCTTTCGTTCAGAAAACATGGATACTAAGTCGTAATTAGCATTTAAAGGTCCATTTAAGATAAAAAGTCAAGGGGTAAGTACCAGGATAGTCATTACAGCATAATTCTTAATAGCAAGAAATTAAAAACACTTAAATATCTATTCAGAAGAGGACTAGTGAAATAAAATATTGTGTACAATTAACTAGTACGCAGCCATTAAAAAATGATGCTGTTCTCTCTCTAATTATATATTGTAAAATATATAACAGAAAAATGGAGGCAAATGGCAGATACGTATGGAGTACAAAACCATTTGTGTCTTTAAAAATTAGGCCTGTATGAAAATACGTGCTATTTCTCTGGAAAGATACACGATAAATGGTCGTGGTGATTTCCTTCAGGAGGGACACTATGTGGCTGAGAAAATGAGACTTAGTTTCTCCATTAATATTCCTTTGGCCCTTTTGGCTTTTTGTACCATTTGAATGACTCAATGAAATTTTTTAAAAAACAAAAGGTCGAGTGTAAACTGGAAGCTTTTTATGTGCATCTTCCTGTGAACAAACCCTGGACACAGTAGACATTCAATAAATGTTTATTAAACAAGCCCACTACCTCATTCCTCCTCTCCTATTGCTCAGATCTCTTCCTCCATTGACGTGGGGGCCGGAAGGCAGGGTGTGGGCTGAGGTTTCACGTGGTACATTGTGTCCTGACGCTCTTGGAGGGCTGTGCCTCTGCGGAGCGTCGTGTTCACCTCCCCAGACACACTCCTTACCTCAGGTCCTCCCACCACAGCTCTGTGCAGGAGATGTTGTCATCTCTCTTCCCAGGAGAAACTGAGGCTCGGAGAGGTGGCTGCGAGCTCAGGCAAACGGTGTCACACACACACACAGACTCGACTGAAGCAGCAATTTTAGAGCATGCAAGATGAGGACCATGAAGATGAGACACTCGTTGCCCTTCCAAAGGGTCTTAGCAGGGGAGACCTGTGGATGACATCACTACACTAAGAGCCGGGACAGCCCCTTGCAGGGGCTTGAAGGGGAGAAGTCCTGGGGAGGAGAGGAACGGGATCCAGGAAGGCGTCACAGAGGAGGTGCTGGTGGATTGGGGCTTGCAGGAAGCGTCAGGAGAAGCCACGTGACTCACATGTTCCAGAAGATGCTAAGTGCTTTGTGAGCGTTATCACCTTTTATTCTTTCCATCCTAATAATTCTAAGTATTCTTGTTCCCGATTTCAGATGAATCAACCCAAAGCTAAAGAAGAAACCTTCCCCAGACGTTCCAGTCCACATTTAATGTTGTCTTACTTCCTCCTGGCCGTCTCTCTTAGGGATCGCCAACATGCATCGCCTCATATATTGATGTAAAACTTGTGTGCACACGCATGTACACGTGTGTGTGTGCCCAGCTGTACACATTCCTTATCTCTAACACGAGTATAAACTGCCTGAGACAGGAACCTCTATTTTATGTTTCTTTAATATCTCCCCTCTATACGCTCACATGGTAGACACTGAATATTTATGGTAACATATTCATGCTAAACTAAGTCTGTATAACCTGGATACTTTTATTTTGTGGGAAGGTTTTATGACAGCAGACGAAAGAAAATTATTCGACCACCTCAAATCTCCTCATCTGAAATACTGGGTTCCGTTCATCTGGTTTGGAAATCTCGCAGCTAAAGCCCGGAAGGAAGGCAGAATCAGAGACAGTGTTGATCTGCAGTCACTGATGACGGTAAGTAGTTCATAAACCGCCAGTAAAGGATGCTCATCAGAGACCAGGAGGGACCTGGACGTAACAGATCGGACCAGGACAAGTCTGCCTTGTTCTATTCTGGTTCCAAAGGAGCTGGAAAGACTGGGCTAGTGTCAGAACCCTCAAACGCAGGACAGAGATGGTACGGGGGTCTAACTAGATTGATTGAGAGTGGCTGCTTGGAAGCTCTGGTTTAAACACAATTAGACTCTGCACAAACTACCCCTTGATCGATTAGTGATGTCTGCCGAGGGCTCTGAAGAATTGGTGCCCATGCGGCATATTTGCCATCCTGGCTCCAGGACCCTAGAATAAAATCTGGAGTAGAAATAAACCCCTGCAGTCAATTTCCAAAATTGTAATATCCTGAGGTTAAGCCTTTTCAGATGTTCCAGGAAACAAAATTGTATTTTTATTCAATGAAATAACCCTGAATTCATCTGAGAAACAAATTTCTGTCAGGGCTAGACAGATCTGTGCTACGACAGTCTCCTGCCTGGATTAGGCTAAAAGGAGTGAATGATTTAAAGATAGCTCCCAAATTAGTGTGAGCCCATCTCCCTGGTCTTAGATAATAACTTATGTGCAGCAGAGAAAAAAAAAATCAATGGATCCCGGTCCTTCCTGCTCCAAACAGAGATGGATCTTCTGTCGATATAAGCATCCTCATTTGCGTATGTGGCGGGGGGGGGGGGGGGGCAGGGGGAGGATTAGGATGTATTTACTTATTTTTTCTAAGATCTATTGTAAGTATGCTTTCAAGAGATGGAGAAACAAAAAAATAATTTGCTCTCCATGTGTTTTACCAAAATGGTTAGACGTGACATTTCAAATATTAACCACCGCCTTCCCATCAACACTTTGGGCCAATATACATGTTGGAAATTATAGATTCAATAGAGTAGGGGACATTTCTATAAAGCCCTGATTTAGTATATTTTTTTAAATGTCCAACTGTACTCTTCCTTTCTGTACATTCTTGAGTGACGCTCACTGCTTGTCGTTTTCAGAATTTTCCTTTTGGAGCGGCCTCAGAACCAATTTACTGGCCTTGCGAAGTCGGTACCATTGCTTTGCAGACATAGTCGTAAAGCCATGGCCACATTCTGAATCCTGGTAAATATTTATTCCCACACCCATCATTTTAGTAAATCGTATTCTGTCTGTTTCTGGCTCAGGAAATGAACCGCTATCGCTCCTGGTGCAGCCTCTTATTCGGCTATGACTGGGTCGGGATCCCGCTGGTCTACACCCAGGTAAGGGATCCTATGCACGTGATTTCTGTTTCGGTTGGCCCACCTTGGCTCCTGCTTGCTTGGGCAGCCATCTGTGCTCTCCCTCGGGTTTCTCTCTCGGCCAGGTTGTCACTCTGGCCGTCTACACCTTCTTCTTTGCGTGCCTGATTGGACGCCAGTTTCTGGACCCCACCAAAGGCTACGCGGGGCATGACTTAGATCTGTACGTTCCGGTCTTCACGCTCCTCCAGTTCTTCTTCTACGCAGGGTGGCTCAAGGTAGGCGACAGTCTCGGTGCCTGAGACTCGCTCGGCAGTCCCTGTCCTGTTCCACACTCTGCACACTGATCCTTTACTGAGTCACTCACTCGTGAGTCAGTCAAAGGTAGACTTAACAATTAATAGCTCAGAGTTGTTATTGCTTGTCAGCAGGGGTTAGAGTGACAGGGACGTGGTGAGTACTGTCCTGCAGGAGGCCTGAAGAGGCTCGTGTGTGCAAAGACGTTACAAGGCTACTCTTTTATGGCTATTGACTGTTTTGAGCCTGGATGTGCTCCGCTTAGGATTACAATAATATAATTAAAGTAAGAACTGTACCTGCATTGATATTTTATACCACGGGGAGCAACTCGGCAGAGCAAGAGGGTCAATAAGAAGCCTGGCGTAGTGGCCTTGAGCATTAATGCTGTATTATTATCTTGGCTCTGCTCAACTCTGTAAATGGTCAGCTGTGCTTTCCTGAAATCCCCTAGCTGTCCCACCCCGTTAAATGCATCCCATTTTCAAAACCAGAACCAAGACTCAGAGAAGAATTCATGAGAATCAAAACCAGAAACATGGGGATTAATGACGACATTTGGTTTGCCAGGAAGTTAAAGACAGGTCAGAACAGTGAGGTGGACTTGTCCAGTCACCAATGTAGAACGTATTTGTTCCCACCACCAACCCTCCCCCTCCTATCCCACCCCCCAGATGTACGTGTAAATAACAGAGCGCTGATTCGTCCATCTCTGTTGTGAACTTCCCAAGGAGAAGTGTGTGATGGGGAAAAAAATCGATGGCTACATTAAGTTAATTGAAATCTAATGACGTTTTGAAGATGACTTGAATAAAATAGGATTTTCAAATGTTTGACCTTCCGAACGGCCATGTGCTGCCGTGCACCATGATGTCAAGGGCATCCAGTTTGTGGCAGCATTTTCCCTGCAGATGCCTTCAGTTTCATTGGTTTGAGTCTTAACTAGGAAAAATAAATGTGTTGTCATTTCAAATTATGCTCCAAAGAGTAAAGGCATGTCCTTTACCAATGGCAAAAACGTTTTCACCCAATGGCAGTGGTTCTTAATTCCTTTTACTGTTTAAGACAGAGAAAGAGCAAGAGAGAATAATAGACTCTCATCTCCCGTTAGAGAAAAAGCAGACTCTACTTTTATGAACACAAAGTCACCACAATTGGCCCAAATGTCAACCATCCTGGCCTTTTATTCCTTCCTTTGAGATGCGCTGAGCTTTTATTCTTCGCTTTGTGACCATGCAAGGAGTTCCGCCAGCCAGTAGGGAACAGTGAGCAGTTCCTGCCTCTGACACCCTCTCCGAAATGTTAACATCCTTTTCCTTTACAAAATATTTTAAAGGCAAAATATAAAAAGACAACCTTAGCTCCATTAAGAGATAGGGAGTCCTAAAGAAGTGAGTTCTCCCGCCCAATGGACTGTGTCTGCATTTCTGACAGCTGTTCTGTCTAGACCATTCTTATGTGTAGAAATCTTTGCAAAGTGTAGAAAAACGGTCTTGACCTTATGAACAGTATATTACTCGGTTATTTTCTGGAAATGGAGCCTCCAAGAGAGTAAAGGAAATTCTGGTGAAATAGTCAATTCAGAAACACAGGTGTCGTTTTGGTGTCTGAACGTGGACTCTAAATCAATACGCAGGACTGATCCCGTGAAAGGAAATTCTGGATGTAACAAAAATATTTTCAGGGCCCATCCAGTGGCCCGTTTAATTTAAGGAAAACTCCAGGCAAAAACGTGTAGACAGTCCTTGAAGCGTGCAGCAGAGGATGTGACGGGGCCTTGCTGGTGCCGGCTGATGGAGGCCCGGCTCTGCGCAGCGCTGGCCCTGAGATGACGGAGATTCACTTCTCCAAGTCATGGTCCTCCGCCCGGGCCACGCACCAGGAGCTCCTGGAGCCTTACCCGATTCTGAGGCCTGGGCTCAACCTCACATCCACCAAATCAGAACCCCGGGGGGAGGGACCCAGCCATCAGGGTTTTTTAAAACTCCCCAGGTGATTCTGATGTTCAGCCAAAGTTGAGAACCATTGCTCTAAGTGGTTAGACTTAAATCCTAAAAAATAAGTAGGTAGGTCTTCTACCAAATGGTTTCAGAATCTAGAAACTTAACGAATCAATGGTGCCTTTACTTTATATACTTGTAAGTTTTTCTCATCGGAGCCCGATGAAAAATCACACACATCCACCCCCTCCCGCGTCACGCTATGAAAGCGACAGAAGGAAGCAGAGCGTGAAACAGGCGTCGTCTCCACCTCCATTCTAGTCTTCACAAGCATCGTGACGATCTGTTCCATGTTCTCCTCCGCAGGTGGCTGAGCAGCTCATCAACCCTTTTGGAGAAGATGACGATGATTTTGAAACTAACTGGTGCATTGACAGAAATCTGCAGGTTAGAGGAGCTTTTCTTTCCTTCACAAACATTAACAGTAAATCACTTGTGATGTTTCAAGTCTAAACGGACTCTGAACGCTGCCCCTGAAACTCAGAGCTTTAGCCACAAAGAGCTTTGGCTGTTCAGTATGTTGTCTCAGGTCCTTTGGGAAACTCACGGCTCCTGGATCTCAGTTCCACTGAAATTTAGTCCCTTTTAAATAGAATTTCAAGCCAGTTTTCTGTGTAAGTTTCTTTATTAGCTTTACACAGCCTCTTGCATCTCAGTTTTTGTTTCTGTTAGTACCGTGGGGTGGATTCTGACTCCTAGCGACCCTGTGGACAGCAGAGGGACCCCTGCCCGGTCTGTCTGTGCCATCCTCTCCCCTTCCAGCGCCATATCAGACAATGCTCCATTATTCACAGGGTTTTCATGGCCAGTTTTTTCGGAAGTGGGTGGTCAGTTCCTTCTTCCTGGTCTGTCTTAGTCTGGAAGCTCCACTGAAACCTGTGCACCACGGGTGACCCTGCTGGAATTTGAAATACCCCTGGCAGAGCTGTCAGCATCGCAGCCACACCCAGCTGCCAGTGTGACAGCCAACAGATGGGTGTTGTGGTTCCCTGACAAGGGCATGAACCAGGGCTGTGGCAGTGAGAGTGCCAGATCTTAACCACTGACCCCCAGGGCTGGTCTCCATCTCAATTCGGAATAATATTTCAACTCACTCTTTAATCTGCTTTCTATTACCACCCAGAGAGGTTGACAGTGACATAAAATGGCAGCCAGACACAATCCAACGTGAGTCCCAAACTCATGTCACGCAGGTCCCTGCAGTCAGACGTCTGGCAGCTGGACATGGTGAGCGTAGCCAACCACTGGTCTGCGTCTCAAATCTGCCTGAATCGCCCCCATGGGCCCCTGGGCCCTTACATGAAGTGTTATTGCAGAGAGCTTTTTCTCAAAGAACCGGCATGAGAGAATTTCCATTTGGGGCAGGACTCTCCCCAGACCACTCCCTTCCCCAAGAACCACAGACTGAGCAAAAGGCTTTCAACTCGTCTGTTTGTTTCAAGCCTTTACTCAGCTCTTAAACGGGTTCAGACCTTTCACTCTAGACCACTACTGGTTAGCAAACGGGTCTCCGCACACAGAGGCAGGGAGAGACCCAAGAAAGAGGCAGACCCCTCCAGACGGGCAGGTGACCGGTGTAGCATGCTGAGGAACTTGCTCATGAGGCTCATCTTGAGTTACCACAAGACAAGTAGATGTCCATGCCTACCTGCCAGAATCTTAAAAGTTTATGCAGAGACCTTCATGGGACTCAGTCACACGTGCCATCCAGATGGTCTCTGCAGTGTCTTACTCTCACGGGGCTGTGTCCTTGAACCTGGTTTCCACTGTGGGGACAGTGGGCCGACGTATATTCCAAGGACAGGGGAGGGGTGGGGAGTCTCCCATTGCCAGGGTCCAGCTGGGGGCGGTCAACCAGCGGTCACGTCCGCTGGACGACCTCCTCCGACAATCATGCTGTCAGTCTGTTAGAGAAAGCATAACACTTAGGCCCCTCACTCTCTGTGGAAACTGGATTCCCAGAGGATAATAATTTATTCCTGTGTCCGTTTCTCAGAGTCAAGAGGACAGACCTCTGTAGTCCCGAGCAGGACAGGTTTGTTACTAGACTTCCCAAAACGAACACACAAAAACTCAGGGCACATGAGCAGTGATGTCAAGTGTACATGTGTCTATGGGATCAGCAGAACGGGCAGTGAGAATCTGCACCTTCCTGTGACGTCTGGGATCGTGAGGTTGCTGTCAGCAACACAATCATTTTGAGTAAAGAGCAAGGTGCTCTCCTGCCTCCAGGTGAGAGGCAGCTCCCCTCTGGAGCGTGTGGCCTGACGAACCAAGTGGGGACAGTTTGACCGCCCGCGCACGCCCATTGCCACGTCTTCCTGTGCGGTAGACGGCCCGTACCGCAGTCTGCCGCGGCCCCGGTGCAGCAGACACAAACCACAGACGTTCGTGCAGTCACTCATTCGGACCCTTCCCGCCCCCTGCAGACCCTCCGAACCACCAGGACAGGTTCTCTTTCTCCCACAGTCACGTCTCAGTCCTTCTAACCGTGTGACGCTGACTGCAGGTCTCTCTTCTGGCTGTGGACGAAATGCACATGAGCTTACCCAAGATGAAGAGGGACATTTACTGGGACGACTCTGCCGCTCGCCCACCTTACACACTGGCGGCTGCCGACTACTGCATACCCTCGTTTCTGGGGTCCACAGTCCAAATGGGGTGAGTGCTTTTTTTTAAATCACCAACATTCAGAAAATAACTAGGTTACTGTTCTGATCTTTGTATGCCCTCGTCTTGAAGTCACTTTCATAACTCTCAATTATTAATATCTTATAATGGTAGCCTTTTCAAAATTTCAGATGTAATTAATATGCCCAATAGGGTTAGTAAATAGACTGTAGTTTCTAGTTTAAATATGGTGCGTGTGTGCATGTGTGTGTTTTGGGGTAATTTGCACTTTGCTTCGCTTTTATAGCATGACAAACTTTCCAGCAGTCATGAAACTATACTCTTTTTTTACTTCCAATTTGAAGAGTAGTTTAATTATGTGGTTGCTTATTATTTAATTATGACTATCATAATTAAATGTCCTTTTTTTTTTGGTGAGGAAGATTGGCCCTGAGCTAACCTCTGTTGCCAATCTTCCCCTTTTTTTTGTTTTTCTCCCCAAAACCCCAGTACAGAGTTATATATTCTAGTTGTAAGTCCTTCTAGTTCTTCTATGTGGGACACTGCCACAGCATGGCTTGATGATCGGTGTGTAGGTCCCCGCCCAGGATCCAAACCAGTGAACCACAGGCCACCAAAGTGGAGCATGAGAACTTAACCACTCAGCCGCAGGGCCAGCCCCCTAAATGTACCTTGAACAAGTATTTATTGAGCATCCACCATGCGCAGCACTGTGTTAGACTACTTTGAGATAAGCGAGTCTTGAGGAATGAGATAAATTTTATCCAAAGTTTTCTCTGATATTATAATTCAGTCTAACGATGTTTAGGATACAAGTCAGTCAGTGGTTTTGACATAACGATCTGTCCCTCTGTGCTGTGAGTCTTAAATAAACGGGCTGAGGCCTGAAGTGACTTGTGCACAGTTCTCAAATAGTTCATTAAATCTGATCATGTACTGGGTTTTGGAGAAATGTGTGACTGTGGGGGAACGTGCTGAAGGCAGACGCCTCCGTTTCCAAGCAACTTAAAGAGAAGAATGTGGACGAATTTAGAAAAGTAAGAACTCCTCTGAAAAACTGTAGAAAAAGGGAAAACTTTTGCAGAATTTTTTCTGTAACTTTTGGCAAAACTACAGCTTGCGTCCCTGAGGCCAGCTCTGAGCAGGTGTGTGAAGCGCAGTGTCCTGTAGCAACCCCACCATGACCGCCCCTCCCCTCCTCCCATGGTATCCTGCCTCCTCCTTCCCTGTTAAAAACCAGCATTTGACTGAGCTAATTTTAAATCTCTTACTGGCTTTATTGGACAACTTGCGAATCGGGCGGCGTCTCGTCTGGCTGTAGGAAGGATCTCCGAGGAGCTGTGCAGAAAGAAGGATGCCTACAGGCAGAGGGGAGTGGGGACAAGGAAGTCCTTCTAGCAAAAGGCGGTTGGTTATTTCAAGGTCCCTCTCCTTTAAGGGACGGTGGGGTCTGTCAGGCTGGTCCCCTCACTAGTCTGACCGGCAGTTCCTGATGGGCTGGTTCAAGACTCCACGTCTGGCAGAGCTGAACTGTCATTAACTCTCTGTCTGGTGACGGGGGGCTCAGCATAAGCGACTCCATTTGGGGCGTGTGGTCTCTAACACGCCGTCAGGATACCTAGCTTCAATCCTATTCTTATAAGGCTTTACTCTTAGCCGAGCGTCCCCTGATGCTCATAAATAATGGTTTGGGGCATTCCTCCTCCGAGGGGCCCTCTGAGGCTGAAAGACCTTCAAGACCCAAGGAGAAGGATGCCTGGACATGGAAGTTCAGGGTTTAGGAGCCAGGAAACGGTCATGTGGCCCTCAGGTGGCCTTGGAGAAGGCGGCCTTGCTCCTTCCGGAGCCCACGCGGCCTGGGCCTCCCGCGGCTCTTCCAGGCTCCTCCCTCCCCCGCCGGCCGCTCGGTCTCCACCAATGGGGAGTCCCTGCCGTCTGCTCCTCTCGGCCTCTCACGGATGCTTTCATGGATGTCGGCAACCTGCTCAATTTTGAAAATTAAGAGGAGATGTTTTTCTGTGAGTTTGTTTTTAGATAATTAAAGATGCTTTAACTTCCCCTCCACTCCCGTCGTTGCTTAAGGCAGAGCATTTGAAGATCTGACTTGTAAAAGGAGACCAGCTCCCCTGACAGGGTCCGGGGTCACTGTGGTGGTCCCCTGAGCCCGCGTGTGCTACTCGCTCTCCATTTCCAGTGTCCGTTGAGCTGGTTTTGCATCATGGTTAAGATGACGTTTTTTTGTCTCAAGAGTTTTATCTTGATCTACGTATTCAACCTAATTGTCCTAATTTTACATTCTTTTGTAAGTGTCCATGTTCTTTAGAAGGTATTATATATTTCTCCTATTTGTAAATATAGAAACGCAGAATTAGGGATTTACAAGACGTGGGAGAAAGTACCTACCTCAAATACTTATTGGGAAGATTAAAGGAGATGTAAATATAAGAACACTCTGGTTGTAGCTATAGAGGATTATTATCATCCACTGGTTCAGGTCTCTTACTGGTGGATGTCAAACTGAGGCAAAGAAAGATGAAACGAATCTAAGCTATTTTTCATATTGAATTAACCTGGGAAATTTGGGACAGAAAATACAATGCTTGGGAGAAAACCAGAAGATATGGTATTTAAGAATGCAGCAAAAAGTCATTGGCTGTTGGAGACACTCCTCTGTTAGGATGGCCTGTTTACCAGCATGATGAGGACAGGGACTGGCGAGGCCAGAGTCTGTTAGGGGAAGTTGTGGGATGGTAACTGGACTCTGCTAGGACCAACTGACCAAAGAAACCAGCAGGCAGAAGCCCAGTCGATCTTGGTTTTCTGCAAGAATGAAGACATTGCAGGGGAGCCTCCCAGTTCAGGACACCAGGCTCTGGAAGCCAGTGTCCCCAGGAACGCCCTCCTGGATCCATTAGTGTCTCTTCGTTCCATGACTGGGCTATATGGTTGCCTGTGAAAGAAAACCAAACTCAAACAAACTTAAGCAAAAAAGGGTTCCTTGGGTCACGTCTGGAGACCAGCCAGCTCTGGGTGCGGCTGGATCCAGAGGCTCAGAGGTAAGCAGGCCTCAGCCTTGCCTGCTCCACCTCTCAGTTCTGCTCTTCCCTCCACGGGAGGTGACCTCAGTTCAAGCTCTCCCCACCTGAGGGCAAAATGGCAAGATGGCAGCCAGCAGCTCCTGGAGTACAGCCTATCTCCCCAGCAAATCCTGTGGAAAGAGCGCATCTCTTTTCCAACTCTTAATCCTAAAGTACTGGATTGGCTATGATTGGCTGGACTTGGCTAACACGCCCATTCCTGAGCCAATCACTGTCGACAGGGAGACAATATTTTGATTAGCCAAGGCTGGTTCACGTTTCCATCTTTGGACCAAAGGGTGTGGTCAGCCCCAAACAACCTTATGCAATAGGTGATGTCTCAAGAACAACCAGGGTGTTATTACCAGGAGAAGGGAGAATGGTTTACTGTCAAAACGATAGAAGTCCTCTAAAATCGTAAAAGATAATGCCCTAAGCATTTAATTGTTTACTCACCAAATACGAGTCAATAGCACGTGAGGCATCTGACTGAGGCCCAGGGAAAAGGGGACGGGGAAGAAAGGACTAGCACAGCACAGGTGGGTTGTCGACGATGACTGAGCCACTGAGCTCGTCGCATTGAGGTGAAGACCGGGCATCAACGTAGCGTGGATGCAAACATTTCAGGAAAGTGTTTGCTGCTTGATGAGCAAATAAAATCCCTTCCTGGAGGAATGAGGTTTTTATTTTCTTATTCTGTGGAAGGTGTATGTTCCCAGCATTCAGAAATCAAATTTCCTGGAGGAGTAAGGTTTTTATTTTCTTATTCTATGGAAGGTGTATGTTCCCAGCATTCAGAAATCAAATCTCCTTTCTTTTCATATCAACGTTTCAGGTTTGTAATCACAATTCCCATGACCCAGAAATTCTACAATCAAAGTAATGCCCTTCGATAACTGGGCAAAAGTCCCGTCCAAGGGCAAGACGGAAAATTACTCAGCTTCATATTCCCTTTCACATTCAGCACACTACTCATTTCCACAAAAAGGGAACTCCTTGGAGACAATTCCTTTGTTCTCTATATTCAGAAACATGTTCAAAATATTGCCCTATTTTCTATGCATTTACCAAATACACATTACTGAAATAAAGTAAGTGTTTCCCCTTTTTAATCTCAAGCACAAATTTAAAATACCATGTTTTCCCTCGTATCTTCGTACATGGGATGCACTCATTCATTTATTCAGGTAAAGTTCGTTCAGGGCCCCTGTATGGAAGGTTCTATGCCAGACGCTAGGGAGAGGCAAAAACCAACCAACAAGACCACCTCTTCAACTCAGACACAATGAGGAGACACGTTGTAATTCAGGCGGTAAATGCAGCGATAGAGAAATGCTCGGTCTTCTGGGAACGCAGTGAAGATGCGCTTCCCCCCGCCTGGTGAGTCAGAGAGGCTTCTTGGAGTTGGGACGTCTAATACGCATCTCTCAGAATGAATTCAGAGCTAACACACACACGGGAGCAGAGGCATTTAGCAGAGGGTAACTGGCCAGTATGAGCAAAGACAGAACGGAGTGCTCGTGTACTTCGGGCAACAATTTGATATGCAAAGCAGAAGAGCCAAGAAATGGATCTGGGAAGGAGGTAAGGGCAGGCGACGGAGGGTTTGACAGTCTGGGTAAACAGCCTCAGCCTTCTTCCAAGGCTCTTAAGTGACGTGGTCACCTCCATGTTTTAGACAGGTCTGCCCAGCAGCTGCTGAAAGATGGATGGCTGGGGTGAGCCCTGAGCTGGAGAGACCAGCTGGCAGCTCTTGGTGGAGTTTAGACAGGAGAGGATAAGGGCCTGAACTAGGGTGCCTTACAAGAGATGGAGACAGTGGAGATGGCCGAAGGGACAGTTCAAGGAAGGAGGAGTTGAGGGTGACTGGGTGAAGGTGACGAGCCAAGGGTGAAGGAGGAGGTAGGAGCTGCTCCAAGGAAACCGTGTGAGCCCCCTTTTGCGTGCGTCGAA